GGCATTTTTCCCTATTCCACATCATTTCACTACTTTTTTTTTCATTCATCTTATTCGTCACAAAAAGATTTTCATTACTTTGCTCTAATTCATTTGTGGCATTCATTTTTTTTGTAAGAGTTTTTCTTTCCTTTCTTTTTTTGTGTAAAGGGATTCTTCTTTCCTTCTCATTTTTTTGACTCTTTATCTTTGAGACTTTTTACGATCTTTTACTTTTTTTTCAAGTAAGGTTTTTTCAAAATTTATCCTTCAGTATGAAAAGTGATTTTTGGTTGGAGTTCTTTAGAAAAAAATCATAACAGGCACAAAATGGGTAGCAATGGATGGTTTTGTGAATGGTAAAAAAAATACGATCATTTTTCATCTCAAACATGAATGTTTTCTTTGAAAATCATTTATTGAACAAAGATAAACTCATAGATCATTATAAAGGGCTACATATTTTTAAGATATATCTATTTTATTTCTACTAGTAACTTATTTTTTTTGCTCAACTAGTCTCCACAAATCAATATGAATGAGTTTTCAAAATTAAATCTTAAAATTATTGTTATCATTGTCTAAACATTCATCATTTAGATTTTGAGAATGAGAATAAAAAACATAAGAAAAATAAAGCATAGAATAATGGCTGGGATGAAAGAGAAAATGTACTGATATGCATTATACTTGCCTTTTATTAAAATGATAAAAAATGAAATCTTATTACAAAAAAAAATCCTAACATTACTTTGAAAAAAATTCTAAAATGACAAGCAACTTTCAACCAGCCTTAACATCTTTGTCATTCTTAAAATTATGCCTTTGTGTGAGCAGTGAAGAGTTTTTATTGACATCTAACTCCCCTGATTCATCAAAACTCACCAAGCTTTTTTAGATCAAACTTTGCACGTTATGTTTGAAAGTAGGGTAAATTTTAATAGAATAACCCACGCTCTCATTATTGTAATCATATGTGACATTAGCATTATACCATTTGGAATAGGGTGACTTCAGTGGTTCTAGAACAATTAGAGATACCAAGTTATTCTTGACCAGTTTTGAAAATATCTTAGTGTAAGTCATGGGGATAGAATCAATGTGGGCTCTTTTTTAATTATTTCGAGATCTCTTCAAACCACTTACTTAGTTGTTAGGCCTTGAAACAGATGTAGTGATATGACTAAACCTATATGTAGGTATTTGAAAAGCTAGTTGTTAGATTAGTTAGTAAGCTGGTTGTGGAATAAGTTGGTAAGGGGCCTGCACAATACCATTAATTATGGGGTAGTAAGTAGGATGAACATGTGGTGAAATGACGCATAACTTTTGAATTATTACCCATCAAAATATACAGCATGAGCTTCAGTTTCTTTCTTTCTAGGCATCCTTCCTTTCGTTATACTAGTAGTTTATTTTTTCTTAAGCTTTAACTTTTGATGGCATTTTCAATAATTTATCATGAGATCATCATATTAGTGAAGTTTTTCGTTGCATTTCTTATCATCTTTTCATAATAAAAGATTTTAAATAACTAACAAATAGCATCATAGTCTCTTTCTTAGTGAAAGATGGCTAACTTAAATAGTTATATTTCTTTACCTCTAGGCATACTCCTTAAATGATTCGGTCGTCTTCTTTTTCATATTCTGTAAAAAAAAGTGATCAATAGTTAGATCTATTATATGTCAATATTGACTGATAAAGTCATGAGCTAGCTCCTGTTAAAAATGAATACAAGACCAATCTAACTGAATATACCATATCGTTACAAAACCAATAAGACTATCTTAGAATATATGTACCAAAAGCTTTTCATCACTAGTATAGGTAGTCATTTTTTGGTAGTACATGGTAATGTGAGTCATTGTATACTTTGTAGCATCATATTTTTTGAACTTTAATACTTTAAACTTCAAAGAAATAACGATGTATGGGACTAAACAAAGCACAATAACGTCTATGAAACCATAAAAACCAATTCCCTCCACTGCTTACAACCTTTCTTTAAGCATATTCATCTTTATATCAGCTATTGAGTTCCCCCATGACTTAATCACTTTTATTTTTAATTTTCTTTTTTCTTCGATACTATCTAGGTTGAAGACTTAGATTGGCTTTATTGGCTTTTCAGTAAAGATAGGATTTACATAACTTTAGTAATACTCTGGATTTGAAACCAATGATATTCTAAGATATGTATACCCTACAGGATATGTAAAATACCATGGTGGTGCATCCTGTGTGGACTGGGTTTGATGTGGCCCATAACTAAAAAGATAAAAAGGATCAACAACATCTTATAAGGGATGATATTGCGGGCTATCATATTCTTCTACATTCTTTCTCTTATTCAATTTATTCAAGGTTTTCAGAATCTTACTCATTTCCTCCTCAAGTTTTTCTTAAGCTTTTTCTATTTTTTTCAAACAATTTGTATTTTTCTATTCCATCTATATGGCTTAGGCTCTAGTATTATATTGATGAGTTGATTGCGTGGGGTTCTTGATCGATAGAGTTATCTTTGAACCTTATGTACCATAATTAGGATAACATTTTTTAACAATCCTGTATGCATGAATGAATGAATGCATAAACAATGTATAAATGTAGGTATTGACATGTCATATTATGATGCATGGATGAAATACATATATTAGTGATGTTGGAATAAGAATACAACATACAACAACTTAATCAACAAGGATCAAATAACATTTGTCATGAAGGTGACATGAATGAAGCTTAAAAGGTCCACTCATATGTCTTAATTAAGGTTACATTCCAATGATGGGTAGATATGGCTCTAACCTGAGGTCGACTTTTTATGTATTACTGCATATGGTTTGGGTTAAATCTAAAGGTATTCAAATTGTTCTTACTTTATTGTCCATCACAGACTAATGAGGCACATCAATCCTCACTCATCATAGGCTACAAATAGAAATGATTCAATTTGAGTGAATGTATTTTACTAGCTATTGCAGAGATTATCATTTCATGAGAGCATATATATTTTATTTCCTCCTAAGAAAGACAGAGCTCAGGTATAAAGCTCATGTAATGCACATACATATGATTTTGTGTGTGTGTGTGTAAAAGAATACATATATCTTGATTCACAATTTTCACAAGCCAAGTCAATGAATAAAAAAATAAATAATTTAAAACCAAGTAAGCCAAAAATTAGGATAATTTAAAATTAATTAATGGCCTAACTCTCAGAGTCACAAGTAGAGTCGCCAAACTGTTATAACATATAGATCAAAAAATCTATAGCTAGACTTAATAAGAAGAGTGACTACTAATATTTTATCTAGGTGTAATTAATCACCTAAATGAATCTATCCTTTCAAGTAGCTTTTAAACTTGACTAAGTGTCCTTAAAAGATAGGCTCTGGTCTACATTTCAAAACTAAGTTTAGGAGTTCGATAACGTGTGGGGAAGGTTATAGTATCCCCACAACGTCTATCCTAAGATGATACCATTTAATTTTAAATTATCTTAATAATCATCTTGGTTCTAATGGTATTTTTTTTAATAATTAAATATTAAAAATAATTTTTAAGATTTCTCCATTAATCTGACAAAATTCTTAAAAAAATATTTTATTATCTCAAGAGTATTAAAAAATCCTATTTATTTTCTTGAAGATACTCTATTATTGAAAAAACTTAATCATTTGTTTTTGTTTTGTTGCAAATATATTTTATTTTCCCACCATTTGGGCTTAAATTAGAAATATTTTTTTACCTAGAAATATCTTAGATAATCATCGAAATTTATTTATTATTTTTATTTTTATTTCTAAATTTTTCTCCATTTGAGTCTATTTAGAAAATTTTCCTACAAGTTTCATTTCTAAATTTTTTACCATTTGAGTTAAATTTAGAATTTAAACTCTTGTTAGTTTTTTAATCCTTGAAAAAAATAATATAATAATTATTTTTTAAAGTCTCATTTAAATTCTTCCACCATTTGAATTGAATTTAGAAAAACCTTTCACCTAAAAATCTTATGAAAATTCAACCATTTGTGATTTTTCTTAAGATTTCATCATTGGATAAATGTCAAATATTCTCACCCAAATTTTTAAGTTTTATTTTTATATTTTTAATTTTTTATTTGAAAAAATTATAATTATTTTTATTAAAATTTCATCTGTATTATTCCATCATTTTAGTCAAATTTAGAGAAATTTTCACCTAGATATTTATTAGGAAATTTATCATTTAAAATTTTTAATATTCTCATAATTGGATAATTGTTAATTATTTTTTAAAAATTTTTAATGTTTTATTATTTTTTTTGTAAATACTTTCTAATTTTTCCTAAAAACTAGACATAAATAGTCAAATAAATAAAATAAACAAATAAACAAAAAATAAAATAAATAAATAATTATAATAAAATACAAAGATAACTAAAACTTAAAAAAAAGACAAGTAAACAGTAAATACCAAAGATTAACTTACGATTGATTACAAAGCACTTGGGCTTTTGTAATTGTGTTTTTTCTCAACTTCTTTCCCTAAAATAAAATTTCTAAAAGAAAATTGTAATTATTTAAACCTAAAACATTAGAAAAGACTATAAAAAAATTTTCAATTTTTTTGCTTTATTTTTACTCTTTCTCTCTTGATTTTTCTAATTAATTCTTGATTGTCTCTAATTAATCCTAATGGAGTCTTTTAAAAGCCTTTAATCCCAATTACAATAGGAAAATGAGTTTTCTTGGTTTGAATCTCCTAATTAACTTTAACTTTGAATTTTTAATCCAAATTCATCTTTCAAACCAATTCTCTTTTACAGTTATTTTTCAATTAAAACACTTTCAATTCAATAACCCAATTAGAATTAAATCTTCTTCAAATTTTAGCAAAACAATTCTTTCCCTTTTTTTTTGTTTTTTTAATTATAATAACTCTAAACCAAATACAATACTTTCACTCAAATTACAAAAATAAATAAAAAAATTCAAAGCTTAATCTTAAAATATAAATTGATTTCGAACTAAATGGAGAGTTTATAATAATGTAAAAAATTTTTTAACTTAAATAAAACATCTATAATTGTTGGTGCAACAAACCGACACAAATGAAGAAAGTTTATGGATCCTCGAGAATCCCACATTTTAGTTCTTAGGTAGGAGAATCCTCTAAACTTTGGAACAAAATATATTTTTGAAAAATTGACTTACAGGGGTGGATGCTTCTGAAAGGATCTTTCTTAGTTGTATAAAAGAAAAATCTGCAGTAGCTTCATCAAACATTTTCTCAATGTCTTGGGCCAGCCGCCTAACAGGCATATACACAAGGACAAAATGATCCTGGCCTTGTAAAGGTTTAGAAAGTAGCTGCAATCATAAGCTGTCCTAGCAACAACTCCCAAAAACTCTATATTAGGCCAAAATATCTTGTCAAAGTGCAACGCTATTTTATTATCAATCCTTATTCCAAGGTCATCAGTGGCTGCTTCCTTCCACTCTAGAAGCCTTGGTTCGAACATGATGCTTTTGGCTTTTAGTACACTTAAAGGAACAGCAACAATAACAACATCTACCATAAAAGTAATTCCATCTTCCACAGTAACCTTCATTCCGTGGTAGCGCTTCACTATTTTTTAACCCTAGGACAAAATATATTACAACGATAAACATTGGCTGATAAACTCACATCCATGCTATAGAACATTCAAACTGGTGAACTAATTATTCAAGTTAAATTACCTGTGGCTCAAATGGATGTTAAGACCTTTGGCAAAAGTGTTTATGATAGGAAGATAGCCCGACCATAAGCCCCATGACCACTAGGTAACAGCTATTCCTGCAGATAGAAAAAAATAGAAACAAAAAGTTGTAAGGAGAAGAAAGTGCAAGTTTATAAGTTTAGGCAAAAGAAAGGAAAGAAGTCAACATAGGTGAGAATCATCATAATAAGCAAATTAAAAGGAGATTCTAAGCAAAGGTTAAAACATCATTTAATTTCGTAAAATGAAATTATAAGTTCAATGCCTTAAGTAACCATTTTTAATTTAATTATTACTAATTTTCTTTATATGCTAATAGTACCTAAATCTGTGGGTTCAAGATGTTAGAATGCCAATAAACTGAATTTGTAGGTTCAAGAAACATTTAAATTTAGTTAGTACTATTGGAAGCCTACAGTGAACTACAGGATGTTAGGATGCTTCTCTCCCCTTAAACCTTGATTGAACTTTACGACACAGTATGTCATAGAATTTACATACAATCTCCATGTACATAGATTTAAAGTGGGTACAACCAATTGATTTCTTTGATCCATTAAAGATTTCAACTCATCTGATAGGTCTACACTATTTTTCACAAATAAAATTATAGCTTTGGAAGTTGGGATTTGCATTAATCCATAACTTCCAAGCATGCAATTTTATGTGCATAGTGTTAGGTACACCAAATATTTCTTCCCAACACAAAACAATAATTTTAAAAATTACATGCATAAATTTAATTCATTTTAAATAGTGAAAATTTTGACATAGTTATAGTTTGGAATAATGAAAGGTGGTGTTTGTGTTAGCAAAAGCTTACTTACGAGGTAGACCACTTCCAACAAAGTGGAACTCTCAGCCAATTCCTCAATTAGGTACCCTTTGTATCTTGTATCTGATAATCCCTTCATCTCCATCTATATAAGAAATTGACAATCGAACTGGAGCTATATTCAGGTAACTTGGATCATAAATTTTCAGCCCCTTATCATTATTCCCTGTTGTTATCTGTAATTAAATTCATGGTTAAAATCAAAATCGGATTATTTTTAAAAAATATTAACAAATTGGTTTAATTTTTGAACACATTTATAACCTTTTTGAAATTGGTGGCTTTGATAGTGCCTTCGTTGGAGACAAAGACCTGGTACTTCTTTACGATTCATTCATCCACAATGGTTAAAGATCCGTCGAACCCAGAAATAAAGGTAAACCTTGCACACAATCAAGTAAGAACTCAGAGCAAATACACCCACACCCAACAAAGACAACAAAATCAAGCAATAAACAAAATCAGAAGCAAATTCATAGTAGTGAAAATACAAAAAAAAAAAAAAAAAAAAACCTTGGAAAGTTTCGATTCTTGGATTTTCGTTTGGAATTTCGAGGTATTTGGCTCCTTTGAGAGCTTCGATTCTTAGGTTTTTTTTTGAAATTTCTAGGTATTTGGGGTCATTTAGCTTGTAGAAAAAAGAGAACAGATCTTAGGTGGCTTTGGGTGGTGTCGACGACATAAAACAGGGGTCAATAGCAAGGGGATCCAAGTTGTATAATGATCGACCAATTTCTGGGTTTTCGTTCTTAAGCTATTTAGTGTTTTAAAGAAAAGGCAGGAAAAAAGAGAAGAAAAAGAGAAAAGAGAGAAGGAAACAACGACGATCAGTAGTGGTGAGCATCGACGCCAATGACAACGTGTTTGTCGAGTTCTGGGTTGAGTTAATCGGGTTTGAAAACATTGTGAGAATAAAAACAGATTTTGAAAAGAAAGGAAGAAATTGTGAGCAGTAGATGAAGCTTCTCTGAATAAAAACAGATGAAACTTCCAGAGAAGCCCTTCGACTCTGTTGCGTCTGCAATTTCCGTGGGAGGATTTACTACAAAACATAAAATTCCTTCTAATTACTAACCCAAAACAAAAAAAAACTATGCATGAAGAAAAAATCCAAACACAAAATGAAAACTCAGAAACCACAAAAAGAAGAATCTGTATAATGCATGAAAAACAAAAATAATAAAAACAAATAACAAACATGCACACAAACAACAATGTCAAAACAACTCAAATTGTCAATTGACATACGTTGAATTTCTTCGTTCAAGAAAAAAACCAAAAAAAAAAAAAACATGAAAACAAAAAAAAAAGGGAAAGGATGGTTGTAGAAACGGAGTCACAGAGCAGTGTTGTTAAAGCCAGAGTGGGGTTTGGGATGTGGAAAAAATGTTTTCTTGAATGAGAGTTTTGGTATGGAATAAGGAAAAGAGATTAGAGAGTTTTTGGCATAATCTTCCTCTAGAACCTTCTGGGGTTGGTTTGTGAAATGGTGATGCCCAAATCTATTCTTAATTTGTTTTCTTATGACATTCATTACGTGCACGTGAAATTGGAGTCTGGGACTCCTTTTATATATAGGTATAGATACGATGATATTATGAAATTGCTTAATAAGTTTAAGGCGCTCTCCTTGTCAACCAGGAAACTGCTATATGTATATCAGGTATAAGTCTTGACTTGAATTGATTTATTTTTATTTAGCATTTCCACTTATTTAAGAAACTAGACATTAATTGTATCCCAAAATCAAAATGAGCTTCCTGTTTATGTAAATCCGAACACAATGAACACTTCAAATCATATGATGTCGTATGACACCTAGGTAGAATTAATGTTAGTGTAAGAAGTAAAAAGGCAGAGTACGTATTGCAGGATAGAGGACTCGTGAATTTGTCTATGTATTTTGTGAGAACTGTGAAAGAAGGAAACAATCATATATAGAAACTTGACTGAACAAAAGCAATTCTCGCTGTACTGGTATAAGCATTCACGTATGTTAAATTTTCATTCACAAACTATAAACAACTAGTAATGAGTAAGGAACAATTTGCTGTCTCACCCAAAAGAAAAAAAGAAAGAAAGATCATTCCAAGGAAACTAGCTAGGTATAGTGGTCTAGAGAAGAAGTGGTTTCATATCAGGGTGGCCTCGTTTTCAGTCTGCCTGGTGATGAGGGTTGCTTCTGAGACACGAGTTGCATGGAAATTGGCAATGAAAATGGTAGCTAAATTGTCAATACCAGGCTTAGCAACCACCCTGAGAGTATTGTCTTCATCACTTGGATACACCTTTCTTGGGCTGTAAACATCTTCCCCCGCTGAATATGAATAATCCTGTTCCTCACGACCCTTCTTAGCTTTGAAGAAACTGAAAAAGGAGAAGGACTTCTTCTGCTTGTTCCCACCCATAGCTAGAGCTATATGTCTTGTGTTTTTACTTGCTGTGGGTAACAATCGAATGCACGCTACACTGCGAGTTAGGGTGAGTCTAGTCGGCACTCTCTAATTTGGTTTTCATGAGGATTTGAGCCCCCCCCCATTTTATAGTGAAGACCATCTAATGGGAAAGAATCGAAGAAAATTGAGGAGGGGGTATGATGAGGACAAGTGTCTGGACTAGATGAAATGGGTTCTGGGATTAGACTTCCCATGTGTTGTGGTCCGTTGCTTGCTTTGCTTGACTGAAAGAAAAAAAAGAAAAGCAATGGTTGGGAGTTAAGTACCCCATTTCTTGGGTCTTTGCCTGTACTATTTGCTCCCCTGGTTTCATATAGGCAACTTGGCATTGCAGATGCAGTATGCACATTAATTCCTTTGCTTTTGTTTGGTTGTTGGTGATGGATGGTATACTTGGTGTTTTAAAACTTGTCTTAAAATATATAAGACAACTTCCTTTGCTAGTTGGTACCTCCTGCAACCCCTTGTAAGTAAGAGTACACATCAAACAGACTTGCCAAAAAGGGACAAATTCAAGAGCAAAGTCCCAAGGCCCAAGCGCGAACTAAATACAATATTACACATATCAAGCCATGTAAATTTATTAAAATTGATCTATATATATTTGCTATATATTAGTAATAATTGTTAAGTAACAACAATTTTTAATTAGATATAAGAAATGCAAAATTGTTTTTGGTCCTTGCAGGATATGTTTATATATATATATATATATATATATATATATATATATTCCAATGCCATAATGGCTGTTGTTATGTAGTGTGATTAATACTAAATATTCCAACTTTTGCAATCCGTCCACTCTTGATCATTCATCTTCCCACTTTACATGCTGACCATTGGTTGTGGTGAAATTTCAGTTCCACCACTTTTAACATCCCTTCTCATTCTCTTGTTCTAATTCCTTCCCGCCATGCCTCTTTTCCTAATCATTACCTTTGACTATTCTAATTCTTCAACCACAGAAATATTGATTAACGACTAGTCACCGTTAATTTGCTAATGGATATTTACCCATGCGTATATATGTTATCAACTTAAGTTACGATGCACCTTGTATTATTATATGTTAAGATATATATATATATATATATATATATATATATATGTTATCACCTTGTATTACACGTGATGCATGCATACAAATTTTAAACAGTCAATCCACAACTATAAGGGTCATTGATAGTATAATACTAGCTTAAATTGTATGTATTGGATAAGCAATGAGTAATTAGTTGATATCTAATTGTATTAATATATTTATTAAAGAATTAACATAGTTTTTAAGAAGTAAAATAATAATTCAGAAGTTTTATTTTTGGCATCAAATTCCTAGTAAGGCATGTTTTTCTTTAAGAGCCAACTAGCTGTTAAAATATGATACAATTAATTAATTGATTAGTTACATTATAGTATAATCATATAATGTAAAGTGCGTTTAATTTGTGTACATTACAAAAATAATATATATTATTATGAAATGTCATATATATATATGTGTGTGTGTGAATAATTTTTCTTTAGTGAAGATAATGAAATGTTATATATATATATATATATATATATATGTGTGTGTGTGTGTGTGTGTGTGAATGATTCTTTTTTAGTGATGACAATGAAATTAATTGAGGAAATGTAAGTGAAAAAAATTAATTGAGGAAATGTAAAGTGAAAAAAAAGAAGTCTGAATTTAAATAAAAAGAAAACGAAAAAGAAATATGTTTTCCATTCCATGATCATGATATACAACTACATAATAATAGTAGATTTAAGCAAGGCTTTAGACGTATCAACCAGACTCAATCCAATCAATAAATATTTTTTGTAATTTATTTTAAATTAATTGATGGTGTACTTTTAGTTGAATACAAATGTTTCAACAAAGAAAGTCATTATCTCACTATGCAAAAGACTTCACTTAGGTGTATGATGAAATTGACGTAACATTAATTATGTAGTCAAATTCCAATACCCAGTTTTCCAATGCAATTATGACTTTTTATGGATCTGCGAAAATTATTTTCAAGACTTTTAACGTTTTTGCGGAAAATGCAAGCTAGAAATTTGAGACCTCGGAAAGTTCCTCGTGTGTGATGTAAAAAAGGGAATGCAAGTATTTGCTTGGAAGGATAAATTGGTTATTATCATTTTTTTGTTTAATTGACTATTCGATAATCGGTGTTAATTTGCTACAATGTCCATTGCAACCATGAGAGTAGTTACAATTTCCATATTTGGATTTCTTGTCTTTGCAGCCATCAGCAGTTGCTTCTATGATGGGAATTCCCGCATCTTTTGTATAGAAATATATAAAAATTAAAACTTTTGAACAAAAAAAGAAAATTATTTAATGCGAATAGTTTATATAATTAACATGTAGGCAATTTTATAAAATTATTATGTATCTTTTAATAAATTAATTATATTTATGTTTTATTATTCATTTGAAATCACTCTTAATTAAATTCATATTAAAAGTAATAAAACTTTAATTATCACCATCATAAAATAATTTTGTCACATCCTTTTCTAATTGTAAGTATTTAACTTTTAAATTACATTTGTATACAAAAAAATTTAGTTGCCAATCTTTTAACTTATAACCTATTTATTTACTCCACCATTTAAACTATGTTATATATATATATATATGTTTAATATGTATATATATATATATATATTAATTTAAAATAATTAATAGTTGATTAAATCAATTAAAATTAATTTTGGTATATATAATAGCAAATGAATTTCATTACTATTATTATATTAATTTCAAAATCTATCCTTTTCCATTTCTCCCAAACAAGTTAATACACATTATGTTTGATTATTATAATTGTCAAGTATAAATTACTCCCAATTAAAATATTATTATTGATCTTGATTTGGTTTTTAAATTTATTTTAATCAATTAGTCTTTTAAAAATTACAAATAATTTCATAACTATTTCTAAGACAGCAAGATCCATCCTATAAGTAAGGGTGTTTTGAGATGCTTAAGAAATAGATTGTATCATTTCAATAATTTTTCTCATTGTCTTGATATTCCTTTTGCCACATAGTAAAAATAACTTAGATTCTTGTTTTTTTTTTCTTTGTGATGTTATCTATGGACGTGGATTATATGCACAATTTTATGTGATGTTATATATGCAGGTGAATTAGATGCACAAAATTTAATGTAATCAATTACTTCTTAAATTTTTTATTACTTTATGTTTGGTTTTGTATTATTTTAGTTACCATTCTTTTTTTATTTTTTTTTATTTTGAGTGAAACTCTTTCAAATTCATACTTCATTGTAATCTTATAATAAATTATGTTTCATCATAATCATATATACTTATATTTTGAAAAAAAAAATCATTTTGAAAGTACATTCCCTTAAAAATAATCTATTTGGGTTTCAAGAAAATTAAGCAAAATTTCTTGAAAATTTAATGATTTGGAATTTTTTTTTATGTTTTGGTTATTACTATCGGTTCTATCGCAGTTTAAGTTATAAATATATTTGCACATATTATTTTATACTTTTTTGTAAGTTTTTGTTATAATATTGATTTGTATATCAAATTCCATTATTCTTCTATTTTTTGATCATGAAATAAGAGAGCAAGCTAGGTGGTAGATTAAAAGAAAGTTATTGCCTATCACCTATCCTAT